TCTCCAAGTGCCGCAACCCGCGCCCGGCTGCTTCTCTCCGCCCCTCCTATCGGTCTGGATGAACGGGTCTACTTCAACTTCTTGGCTGTCCGACTTCCATTCAGATAAATTCCCTGTCAGTTCTGGGTGTTTTTCTGCCTCTAAACTGTTGTTGTTCTAATCTTGGTTGTGTGTGGAGGTACAGTGTGTCCACCTATGCCTCCATCTTGGCCAGAAGTCCTTGAACCCTAGTACACTGTTAGTGGGAATGCAGACTGGTGCAGCCACTATGTAAAACAATATGGAATTTCCTTAAAAAACTAAAAAATGAAACTGCTTTCTGACCCAGCAATTCTGCTGCTGGAAATTACACCCTAAGAATCTCAACTCACCAATTCAAAAGAACCTATGTACCCCTATGTTCATAGTGGCCCTGTTTACAATAGCTAAGTGCTGAAAACAACCTAGGTGTCCATCTGTAAATGAGCGAATCAAAAAACTGTGGTACATTTACACAATGGAATACAACACAGCAGAAAGAAAGAAGGGGCTCCTACCTTTTGCAACAGCCCAGAGAATATTATGTTATCTGGAATAAGCCAGTCATTGAATATCAACTGGTATATGATCTCACTTATAAGAGGAATCTAATGAACAAAATAAACAAACAAACAAAATAGAACCACAGGCATGGAAACATGGAACAGACTGAAAGTGACTGACCAGAGGGGTATGGGAGGACAATGGTAGAAAGAAGGGGAAAGGTCTAGACAAAAAATATGTATGAATGACCCATGGACATGGACAACGGTATAGGGATTGACTGCTGGAGCAAGAAGTGAGTGGAGTGGGCAGAGGAGAGCAAAGGGGGAAAAAGTGAGACAACTATAATAGAATGACAATAAAAGTGATTTTAAAAAATTAAAAGTATAATACAATGAATACCCATATGCCCCCACCTATATTCATTAATTGTTAACACTTGCCACATCTGCTTTCTCTCTCTCTTTTTCTCACCATATATGCATATGCATATCTGCGTGTTTATTTATACACATGTGTGTATATGTATATATAATATACATAATTTATTTTTGCTGAACCATTTGAAAGTTCGTTGTAGACATCATGATACTTAAGGCTCAAAGATTTTAACCCATAGCTGGAAGTGTTTTAAACATTAAAGAACAATATCTTTCTAAACCAATTTGGAAAGATGCATTAAAGCCTTCAAGATATAAAATTAATATAATAATTTCACACCAAAACGTTTGTTCAAAAGATATTGTATCATGCCCGGCTGGTGTAGCTCAGTGGATTGCGTGCGGGCTGCAAACCAAAGCATCGAAGGTTCAATTCCCAATCAGGGCACATGCCTGGGTTGCAGGCCACGGCCCCCAGCAACCACACATTTATGTTTCTCTCTCTTTCTCTCTCCCTCCCTTCCCTTTCTAAAAATAAATAAATAAAATCTTTAAAAAAAGATATTGTATCCTCATTCCTCAATCTGAGCCTCTTTTTTATGACTTTCAGTGTAACATTTGTTCTTGTTTAAGATTTAACAGAAAATTACTACAGTAATTACAGAGGAGACATAAAGTTAAATCTAACTTTTGACATTAATGGTGTGCTTATTTTGTGGTAGCTTTTTCTCAGAAATTTTTTCTCTTATGTATTTATTTATCCCATTAATACAGACTCAGCACTTTACTACACCAAGACAAGTAAGACATGAACTTGCTCTCAAGGAGTTCGTTAACATGAGAGGCTTCTGAGGCCATGCCTAGAAATTTAGACTTTTCTTAGAAAGGGAAAGTCACTGAAAGATTTTAGATATAGGTCTAATCTCATTTGCATTTCTGAAAGATGATTCTACAGACAATTTTTAAATTAAATTGAGTGGTGAAAATACTTGTTAAGGAAGACAGTTGGCAAGCTGTCACAGCAGTCTGCATAGTCAAAATGAGAACAGAGAGAAGGAGGGAGATTCAAGAGAAGTTAGTAGGGAAGAAGTAATGAGAAATAAAAGTCGGTTGGACATTTTAGTTAAGCAAAAAGGTGCACTGAAAACTCCCTTCCATGTTTCAGGGATTGAGCTCCTGGTTGAAGGTGCTGCCATCCATGGCCTGAGAGCTAGGAATGGTCTGGTGAAGATAGAGAGACATTCCTGACGTCAGTTTGGTGCAGGTGAGATGCTCAATAGACTGTGGAAGACAGGAGTTTTGCTCAGGAGATATTCTAAGAGTTAAGGAATTAGATAAAAATATGGATTTAGAAGACATCAGTGTAGAGTCAGGAGTTAACACCATGGGAGTAAATGAGATCTAAGAACAGGGTGAAAGGCAAAAAGGAAAATTGAGGCTGGATTTCTAGAAAACAATTAAAAAGTAAACAATAAAAAAAACAGAAAATTGAGAAAACAATTCATCTAATGTAGGGAAGAAAGGTCTTCCTAAAAGCAAAATAGGACCTCATAAATCATTAAGGAACTGATAAATATACTTAACTACGTGTATCCTAAGTTTCTCCAAAAACAAATGACAGACACCATAAAACAAAGTTAAAAGGTAAACAAATGAAGGGTAGCAGAACATGCCACCACAAAATATGCCTCTTTGGCATAGCATTATTTGGAGCTAAAGGCAATTGAAAACCAGCAGATGGGTACAAGAAAGTGCTCTGTCCTACCCCTATTTGCGTAAAAGCAGGACATAAATTTGTAAAGGCACCCCTCTCTTTTCTCCCATGAAGGACAAAAGCTGATCACTTGAAACAACTCTGGAGCCGCATCAGCTCAGAGACAGCACTGGAGAAATTTCTATAATAAACTGTACTAACCAGCTCTCATCTCCCAATATTTTCCTCCATGCATTTACCTTCCCACAATTTGCCACCTAGAAACTCAGTCCTTTTTCTCTGCTTGTCACTTCTGTGAAAACATATTGTTCTTTGCTAAGATACTATGTAAGGCCGAGTTCCAACCATCCCTTTGAGTCCTTCCTTGAGTACCTCTATGCATACATGGAATGCACATGTTTATTGCATATTTGTTTTTCTCTTATTAATCTGTCTTTTGTCAGTTTAATTTATGAGACCTCAGTCAATGAACTAAGATGGAGAGAAAATAGTTTTTCCCTGCCTCTATCATAGACTGTATAATCATATGATAAAAAATAACTTCTACAAATTCATAAGCAAAGGGCCAACATCTCAATGGAAAAATGGGAAAATATTAAACCACGTTACCAAAAAAAGAAATTTAAAGAACAATAAACTAATGAAAATACATACAACCTAAAAATATACATGAGGAAATGTCAATTAAAATAATGGTGAGATTCATTTTTTCACTCATCAGATTGGCAAAAATTAAGATATGTTCAATTTTGTGAAGAGATAAGAACATGAAGAGGTACCCACTCAGTATGCAGCTAATGAGTTTGTAAATTGCCATCTCATTTGGGGAAACAGAAATGTCTTTTGAAATATAAAACACATGGTAGAGCAATGTCAATATTATATTTGAGAGAAACAAAAGTTCCAAAATGTTCTGTGTGTGTGTATATTTGTAATTATATATTAGAAATATTTATATGTATGTACAAACATAAAGTATTTATTTAGCATTTTTAAATAATTGCAAAGTAGGTTGATTGTCCAAAAACAGGGAAGTGGTTGAATTGACTATGAGCCATTTATTCTCCACAATATTCTGTTACTATAAATACAATTGCTGGGATCTGTATTAATTGACAAGAAGAGATGTCCAGATAAATCAATGAGCGAAAAAAGCAAGCTTCAAATTTGAGTGTATAGGTGACTCCATCAATGCATACACTGCCTCCCCATATGTGAGGGCATGCATTTAGGTTTGTTTGAATAGGCATGAAAACCTTTTGTTTTTTCAGGGAATTAAAAATGGATTGGATGAAATAAGGAAAGATTATTAACTTTTTCTTTATAAACCTTTGGATGGTTTCAAATATGACTTGTATCAGTAATTTTTAAAATTAAATTTAAAAATACAAGAGCAAAGCACAAAATGATAACTCAAGAACTGTCAAGAAATTAACAAATATTAGTTACTCATTTTTTATAGTTTACATGAAAATATAAGTATAAAATATTAAAACATTGTTCCAATAAAAAAATCATGTCTAACTATTTAATAAAAATACTTCCATATCAGTGGTCCTACTTTGCTCCTAAGTAGTTTTATAGGATTCAGACACAATGGGGCATGCGTAGAGTCGGACCCACTGAGAGGTCAGTGTGCAGGAGGAACTGTGAGGTCTAAGAAAATCTTAGACAAGTTAGGGTTGGACGCATACATACTTTTGGTCAAACAGTGTTGGGAGGGGTGTGATGATTTGGAGCATGGCATAAGGACAAAAATAAAAGCATAGCATCCTTACTACTTAATGTTTTCTGACCCAGCAGAGAAGAGAAGGTTGCACAGTTCAGGGAGCAGTGTGGGAGACTTGGCACTAAGGTGGGTGCTGACATGGTGGGATTTCAGGGCACTAGCAGGAAACACACCTGGTGTCAGCAGCATCGAGTGGACACTGGAAGCTTCCTCCGATGTCTACTGGGTCTGCACTAGAGCAGCGGAATTCAGAGCAACAGGAAGATGTGCCTCAATAAAGGGCATTGGGCATTCCATTTTATTCATTTAACATCATAAAATCTCTCTCTACATTTCTGTGGTCTTAATTATCACTTTAAATGGATCAATAATATTTTATTGATAGGATATATGTAGTTTATTAACCTCCTTTGTGCTTTTGACTCTGTGCTAGTATTATAGAAGTTCACACATTTAGCTTTGTTTTGATGTTCAATTATTTTCTTAGCATAAATCCCCAAGGGCACACTGATGGGTTCAAAAGACTTGAACACTTGCATATAAAGTGAAACACCCCATTTTTGTTTTTTGTTTCCTGAAGTGTTAAACCAATTTAGTATGCCATCAGCACTGTTTGAATTATTAAGACTCTCACAAACAAGACAGCTAGGCGTCGTCTTTTACATTTAACAAGTATTTATTGAGTTTCTGCTATGATTGGCCACTCTCTTGGGTCCAGGAGAACAGTGAACAAAATCCAAAATTCTCGGCCTGTGTGAAGCAGTGGGAAGAGACTTGTTTACTAAACATAAAGTCATTTTCAGTGTTGCTTCAGTTTTAACGTTCTGGGTTACTTGTGGTGATCAGCAGCCTGTGTTTCTTTGCTGATTGTCATCGCAGTTGTGTGAACTGCTTTTTCATGTCTTCTTAATGTGGAGTTTTACGAGGTGCCTCGCAAATTCTATTCTCCTCCCAGTTCCTGCGTGGCCTCCTGATGCCTGGGATGACTGTCATTAGAAATCACCACCCTGTCACCAGCACTTAGAGAAGTTACTGACAGCTAAGGAGAATCCACCTGCCATGGAATTCTGTGTCTCCTGCTTGCAGACCTTCTGTTTTCCCAACAGGTCTTCTTTGCCTGTAGAAGTAGTTTTTCTCCTCGTCACTGAGGTTCATTTTCTAGGCTAGCTCTTCCAATTCTTTCTACATCCAAGGCTATATCCTCCTTCCTTCCTTTTCCTCTTCTGGAGTAGAGGACCCTCCTAGAAAGACAAAACTCCTAGGTGACCACATCCTGCCCTACCCTAGGATTATTTCAGTTCTCCAGTCCCAGAGCCTGGTCAGCCCCCTTCTCCCTGTGCACAAGCAGCATGCAATGGAAAGACCCCAGGCGATCACCATGACACCAGGCCTGCTCCTGTCTGGAAGTGGGTCTTTCTGTGCCCACAGCCCCTCACATGGAGAGGGGCTGGCCCACGGATTTCACCTCTCCTTTGAAGGCTTTCAGCACAGGTGACAGACAGCCTCTGTCATGTCGAATGTGATCCTTTTACATCTGCTGGCCTAAGTTATTTTGTTCTTGTTGTTGTACATAAGTTTACAATGTTTTATGTAGTCAAAACTGCCAGTCTTTTCCTTTGTGATTTCTTCTTTTACTTCAAAGCAAAAAATAATAATAGTTTCTCCAGACATCTGATGGAAAATAATTTACATTTTCTGCTATGTTTCTAGAACCTATAATTTTAGCCATCCAAAATTTATTTTGATCATGGGACATGAGATTCCAGTACAAAACTGATTCTTTAAAACAATGCTAAGTAACCTAAATAATGTGTATTAAATAATTCTTCCCTCATCATCTTTTGAGATATCTCTTTCTATCTATTATATCTTTAAATATAATATGCTTATTTCTGGATGATGCTATTCTATTTATCTGCATGCTTATTTGAAGAAGACTCATCTCTGCTTTAAGGTTCCACTTTACAAAATACTAGTTAATGTTTTCAGCTGCGCATGGTAGTGTTCTGTGTGCAGTACTAGGGCCGAATGGACTGGATTAGAACCCTGGGCTCAGCAATTTACTAGATGTTGTGTGAACGTGGGAAAGTTACTTAACCTCTCTGGATCTCAGTCTCTTTATTTATTTACAAAACAAGATAATAAAAATACCAATCTGTTTTGTGTAAAGATTGAGGTATTTATTGTATGTAAACACTTTAGAACAATACCTGCTACATAGTAAGTATTCAATAAATGATATGTACTAATGCAATAAAAGTTATTATTACTAATTTCAAAAATTCAATTAATATTTTTATTTGTATTATGTTGAACCTTTAATTTAATTTCAGAATATGTATATCTTACCAATTTGTCATCATCATTTTGAAGGACAACACTACACGTCTTCATATTTCCTCTCTAATATTAGTCAATATAATTTTAGACTTTTGTTTATATTAAATGAGATATGCATCTCTTATAAAATACTTCCAAAACAATATTTAACACATGTGAGAATGGTTATCTTTGTTTTCTTGCTGATTTGAAATAAAACATTTCTAGTAAGAGCAAAGAGATTTTGGAATAAGAATTGAAGGTCACTTTATACAGATGGTGTCTCTTACAAGCTTGAAATTGAGGGCAAATCTCACAATCTCTCGGAACCCCAGTTTCTCCTTCATCAGTAAGACAAGGGTATGAAGACTTAACCTCCCAGAGTTGTAGGAGTAACTGAGATATCACATGTGAAGTGTGTGGCACTCATGACAGATGCCTAATACATTTAGTTCCATCTAGGGTTTATTCTTTATCTATTAAGAAAATCTGTTGCTCTATTCCTAAATTTCTAATTTTTCTATTATAAATATCTATTCAAGTAGATTTCATAAATGTATTGACTTTGTGATTAAAATCCAACTTGAAAACTATCTCACAGAAAAAAATAAAAGACATATTCAGTTTCATGTGTCCTGGCATTTATGACTTCTCTCAAGCCCCTAAAAAATATTTGTTTCATAATACCTATGCAATAAATATTTGCTGAATATTTTATTAAATAAATGAGCTCACCTGACTGGTGTGTCTTGGTTGGGCCTCATTGTACAAAGGAAAGGTCACAGGTTCAATTCCCAGTCAGAACACATGTTTAAGTGTGGGTTTGGTCCCCGGTCAGGGCGTGACGAGAGGCAACTGATCAATGTTTCTCTCTTACATTGATGTTTCTCTCTCTCTCTTTCTTCATCTCTTCCCCTCTCTCTGAAATAAAAAAATAATAACAAAATAAAACCTAAGATTTTTTGTAGGTAATTCATAGGCAGCAGTTCATAGCTGAATACCACCTTCTCTGTCAAATCTGATAAAAAAGATCTTGGAAACATAGTGAATACACATACACACATGTACACCTACCCATCTATGAATGTGTACACCTATATTTATATGTGCTATTCAGAAGCAAAGTTTTTCTAAGAGAGAAAAATAACTTTGTTTACTAGGGCTAAAATAAGACTTTAAAAAATATGTTTAACTCTTATGCATCGGTACCTATAAATTTTAAAAATTAATGCAATTGAAAAAATTAATAAATCTTTAAACTACCAAAATTCTGTTAACTAGGTACCACCAACACAGAGACATGATTAAAACCAATCCTTATGATTACATTTAATTTGCATTAATTTGGCTCACTGTAAGCAATTTATACTTTTAACTTAGAATTCCATCATATCACATCTTGCCTAAAATAGCTACTGTTCAAATTCCTTTTCTCTTGATTACCTATATATAATACTGGCAAACATGTCAAGACCCAATGGTGAAAAATAAAAAAGAGCATAAAAGAGGAAAGTAAAAAGCAAAAGTAAAAATAATATTGATTACTAAATTTGTATTCTGCATATTTCCTTATGGCTAGGACACTGTACAGTTTTTTAAAAGAGTTTTTTGTTGTTATTTTGAGCTGCATTTGGCCACTTTTAAATGAGTATTAATTATGTACCAAGCAGTTTCCATGCATTTCATCCTTCTAATCATGACTAAGGAGACGGTATTATCTGCTTCATCTGTGCTTTGAAAATGAAGAAACTGAGGCTCAAAGAGGTTAAGTTACAAGCCTGAGGTCATACAGCTGGTTCAGAACAGTGGAGGTCAGAGTTGAAGCCAGATCCACTGATGTTCCAGTCCATTATTACAACCTTGTGCTCTGCAGCCTCTTCAGGAAGAACAGCATTTGCTGTTGGTAGTGGCCCTGAATGAGATAAGCACAGTCACTGATCTATCAGCGGTAGTGCAATCAACCCTGACACTGTTAAAAATAAGACAACAGGTCCAAAATGGAGTAACTTATGCTAAGCCCCATGTCAACAAACCAAGACTTGACTTAATTACAGTTTTGATCTTTTCAGTCAATTGGAAATTATCTGGTCACCGCTAGTGAGGAGATCTACCTGACAGGCTCTCGCCATCCCCTACAGGAAGGTGACCTTGCCACAACCAATCTGCTTTTCAGCTGCTATGATTTCCTTGTGCTCACTCCTTTTCATTTTGTACAGCTTCTCAGATTTCCTTTCTATCTGCTAGATGAGAGGCTGCCCAATGTATGAATTATTAAATAAAGCCAGTAAGATCTTTCAAATTTACTCAGCTTAATTTTGTTTTTTAACAACACTAAGCTACCTCCCTGTGAATACACCTGCTTTTCCTTATGCACAGCATCATCATCACATACAGATCGGCAGATTTGACATGTCCACACTCTATCTGCAAATGCCAATTCAACATAGAGCTACCTCTGGGTGGGCATTAGTCTAGAAGAGGAATGCACAGAGAGATGCAAGTTATTGGCACTAGTCTGGTACTTAGCTTGTGTGGTGGTTTCACAAGCCATCATTACATTATTGCACTTTGGTATGCATCAAATTCTATATAAAATACATTATTAAACTATTAAACAAAGCCAAAAAACCCTCTAGTCACATTTCAAAGGTACAGAACATGAGCAGTCATTTAACAATTCCCAGTCCCTCTCCTCGGCCTCATTCTACAGCGACGAAAACGTGCCTGAGCCAGGCCGAGCTCCTGGTTCTTTCCTCCTGGTAATTGCTTCTTCCTGGCCGGAAGGCCTGAGAGTCACCAGACCAGGTTTTTGGAAATCATTTGTGCTGGGAAACAAGACAAAATGTCTTTCTTTAAGGAGCAAAGGATTAGAGAATTAAAGAAAGCAGCCTGTTTCACTGCTACCAGTTCATAAACTCTGCACTAAAGGACAAGGACCACGCTTTATTCCTCTTGCATTACCCTGAAGCACCTGATACAAGGCCATGCACCTAGTAGGTGGACAATTAATACCTGTGAATCATTGTTTGAATGGATGAGTCAAGTGTCACAATTTCCATGGAGAACCTTAAATGTCACCCTTCTCAAAATTTGACCATGCTGCTGACCCTACTAAAAAGTTCATAATGAGACACCCACAAACACAGTCTTGTATGAACCTCTTGTGTGTTCTCCAAGTCCTTTGTGACCCATGGATACAGTTATTGACGTGAGTCATGCTTCCACCACCGCTCCCACACAACTGGTATTTTTAATGCTACAGCATTTCCTGAAGTCATGCTCTCAGGAAATGGTTTTTGTAATAATGAGCTCACACCCCCCATGTTCCTCATACCCCCACCACAGAATCTCAGAATAGCTGAACAGGTAGGTGTCCAAATACCTAGAATTACCCAAGAAAGTTCACAACTTGCCTTCTGTTTTCTATCAAAGTCACGAGGATGACCTCTTGTCCTTTGCATTTTGAAAGGAATGCAGTGTCCATTTCATGGACACACCCTTATTTGTCTTTTATTTATATCGAGGCACAGTTTATTCTTAAAATTGGCAATAGCCTCCTCACACCAGAACTAAATCAGGAAAACCGGCTGGTCAGGGGCATGGCTTCTAGAGTCCAACAGGCCAGGCAGCCAGATTTCGACTCTGCCACAAACTATGTGGCTTCAGGCAACTTGTTTAGCAGTTTAGAGCCCTCACTATGTAATATGGTAGTAAGAGAAGAAACAATTTCTTAGAATTTTGTGAACATCCAATAATACAACCCCAGTAAACTGCTGACCTCTGGCCTGACCAACAGCAAATTCTTAGTCCTTGCTAATGGTTATTGTTGTGTCAAGTCCTCCCAGAATTCAGGCCTGGGCAGTTTCTACTCAGGTTCTTTAGGTGTCCAGGTACCTTCGGAAGCTGACCTGGCCCAGCCCATCCTGGGAGCACTGTCTGGCCACCCTCTGAGAATCAGAAGTGTCAGGGGAGACCAGAGGGGTGAGAAGGTAGGGATGGGGGGAGAAGGGGGAGGTTATAAAACCACCTGGTCTGACCTAGGTTCGAAGCAAAAGAAGTTGCCACAGGAGAGTTAAGAGAAGTGGTATTATAGTTAGTCCCCATTGAACCATGTGGTAAAAGTTCATTCTTCTTTAGAAAGGAGTATGTTTTTCTTACAGTTTTTCTTAAAAGAGAAACCCAAGGGCAAAGATGATGATGAAAAAGACAATCTGGTGTGGGAGATGGGCTCCCACCATTTTCATCAGACCATCTGATAAGCTTCCCAAGGGACTTTTCTAGGCCCACCAACAGCACAGGACAGACTAGCCACCTCAAGTAGCCTGGGGGTGCATCCCAAGCTCCCAGTTGCCCTGGAAATCAGATTCAAGGGGAGAAGGCAGAATCTATCTGCCCCAGGCCACCACCTGTTCCACCCTGCGGAGGGGCACACACAAAGCTGTCCTGGGAGAATTGCTTTAAGGAGAAGACGCGAAGAGAAAGACCCCCCCTGACACTGCTGTGAAACAGCAGCAGTCAGGGCTTGCCGGCCCTGGCAACCAGCAGTGCACTGGCTCGGGCTGAGCAAAACCTTTCTGTGTTCATGGCATGAGAGCAGACCAATAACAAAAAGACAGCAACCCCTCCCTTAAATGATATTTCATGGCTATCAAATAGCCATGACAGGCCCATCAAAGGAGTAGCCCATATATGTAGGCTGGTGGGAGACCCTCCTGGCAAGTTAGACGCATTGACAGCACCAGGGAGGGGAACACAGTTCATGGGGTCTCTCTATTTATGAAGGGCAGCACTCTGCATAACAAATGTCCCATGCATAATCTTCAGTTGGCATAATTACCTCCAGATCCAATAATGAGAGTTACTCTCTGTCCTAACTGAAGATCTTTATCATTGGGAAAATTAAGCTGGTAATATTTCTATAAATCAGCAAGATGGATTAGTCTGATGGACAAAGAGGCCTCCACTTTGCATGGGGGAGCCTCCTGCTCTGGGCGACCTTGACTTGTTCTGTCAGCCATCTAGGCTTCAGCTTCCTCATCTATAAACCTTTTCTTGAAAGAAGTATATTGTGGGCTTTTCTGAATATTCCCACTGTAATTTATTATTCTCTTCTCTTAAAAATTTTTAGTGGAGACTTACTTAGCACACATGCAGGCAAGTGCACAAAGAGAAACATTATTCTACTTGGCATTATACATCTTTCAGGCAGTGGAAAATGGTGGTGTAGTGATGTTTATTCTCTCCTTGTATCAGCACTACAGTCCATTTTATAAATTCAAGAGCTAGATAACCGAAGGCACAGAGAGCTTGCCAGTCATATCACTCAGAGTGGATGTCCCAAGTCCTGACACATGGCGCTTAGTCTGGCGAGCTAGACCTCAGGGCGTTCAACCATTCGAGTTCATGGAGCAGGCCTCTGTGATGGGGGCAGCCCAGCCTGAACCCGGGACAAGGGTGGCAAGAGGTCATAGTTTGAGAAGAGATTTTTAGCTTACAAGGGAATGACTAAAAAGGGTGAGTACTAACATGTTCGAAAAATTACAGTTCCCTTTGACCTTCAGCAACTGCCATGATTTAATGGCAATTATTTATTGGGTGCTTTCTGTGTGCTAAGCATTGCACAGAGAGTTTAACATGGATTATTTCATTTACTGCTCAAAATAATCAACAAATTAGACACTTTTACTACCCAATTTTACAGAAAAAGAATTCCCCTGTGATTCAGGAAAATTGTTACTTTTCCTGAGTTATACATATAATGGCAGAGCTGGGATTTGAACCCAAGCCCACAAACTTTACCATGACATTATTTGGGTTCTCACAAGCTACTTCCACCATATTCTGCACCTAAGGCATTATCGTACTCCAG